CATGTATTTCACGAACCTTTCTTGTAACTTTTCAATTGATTGAATAAGTCTGCAAATTCCAAGGAAAGCAGAGAAGCATAAGTCAAAAATACTTCTAACAATACCGAAAAAGATAAGTAAAGTACTGAGTATTTCCTCCTTTTGGGTGGATCATAGCTTTCTTTCGAGGCAGCGTCGATTTTATGAGGATTTGAAGTGATGTCGAACATTTTCATACTCCTCCAACAGCCTTCATTATTATTGCATGTTCTTTGGTATCACTGTGCGACTTTTTGTCTTTTTTGAGAACTCGTCCGTAAGGTTTGGGACTATATTTCGGCAGCTCCAAACATTAAATTGAAGCTCGCTCCAAGTAGTTTCCACAGCAATGATAATTTCTTTATTTTTTGTTTATAGAAAGAGATGCGTATTTTTTGTTTGTAGTCATTCTGACCTCTGACTATAACAATCCAGACAGTAGAGAAAATTGAGAAATGTAATGGAAAGAAGAAAGAAGAGAAAATAAAGATAGAGAGTGAAGAAGATAAATATATTTTAATTAATTAACTAATTTATTGTATTTTTCGCTTGTGCATTTTTAATTTATTAAATTCACTAGATTTCGTGGTCCGCTTGATCAATTAATATCTTTCAATTAATTAAGGTTTTTAGTTGATAAAAAAGTCAGTGTCACGAGCGGGATTCGAACCCGCGATCTTCGGCTAGATACGCGCTGGTCTACCGCTTGGGCTACTGTAGAGCAGCGGCGTATTTAGACGAAGGTCGTGGGTTCAAATCCCGCTCGTGACACTGATTTTTTTTACTTTATTCGAAATATTTTCCATCATAATCTACACATCTGTTCCAACGTGTAATAAGCGCTTTTATTCCGCTGACATAAAAATGTATATTTCGACTCACAATAAAGTCTTGGAAGACGTTTTCGCCTTCACTGCGTTTTCTAAAAATTGTATCCCTCAAAAAGTGATAAAAAGGCGGGAGCGAATATGGAGGATGCTGTAAGGTTTCATATCCTAAGTCCTTAAGTTTCCGCAGGGTTGGCATTGCAACATCTGGCCTGGCGTTATCGTGAAGAAGAATCGGCACCATGGACAAATATATTGCACTTTCCCGTGAATTTTGTAAATTTCACGGCAATATTTCTCACCTGTGACATTTTCACCATAATTCAGGAAAATTATAGTGAACAACCCCAGCAGTACACCACCAGTCACCATAACGTTTTTTAAGTGCAGGTTTCGGGAAGTTTTTTGGCACTTCGTCCTTTTCCAACCACCTGTACGCCTCCTATTTTCGTACAGAATCCATTTCTCATACCACGTGATGATTCGATCAAGAAATGGATCATTCTGGTCGCGCAACAGCAGAGACGTGCAAATTTCAAAGCGTCAATTTTTCTTGGGCTTCGTTTAGTTTGTGTCGAGCTTTTTTACTTTACCAATTTGCTCCAGATGGCAAACAACGGTTGAGTGGTCAAGACAAAGCTCTTCCGCGATTTTCCGTCTTACGTGAATTTTCTTCAGTCAACGTTTCGAGTTGGTCGTCGTCCGCCTTTCGCCACCTTCCCTGACTTCGAGATCGAAATCTCTAAGACGAAATTTCTGAAACCATCGCACCGCAATGCATTTGCTAAAGCTTCTCTCTCCCAAATTTATTGATGTTACGCGCAGTTAAGGCACTTCGCCCAGTTTAAACTCGTACAAATAAATTGGTCGAAAATCTACTTTGGACATAGTTAATTTCGCAGGTCCTCACTCTTCTCACTCTATATAAACTAAAATGATTTGTATAAAAGATAACAGTTATAAGTATTTATTACAATCCATAAATGTGTGGCGAGTAGTGACCGTTAGTCGATAATTATTCAGAAATCGAATTCAGACAGTAGAAATACTTTGATTGAATATAAAAACTATATTTTGCGTTGCACAAATTCACTTTTTTCCATATCCTAAATGTATTTGTTAAATTTAAACAATGTTTGTAAATCCCAGGCCCTGAAGATGATCTCAATAAAGATCGAAACTTGGCACGATAAAGAAAATGTTTTTCTGAAACCTACATCACAACAGACCGCATCTCACGATTTCTCAATAATAATCCATAAATTAGATTTGAGGATTTAGCTTTGTTTACATGACAAGCGCCTGTGAAAACAACAAAATAAAACAAATTTTCAAAACCTGCAATAATTTTGCACCGACACAATTCCAGCTCTATCCATATCTATCTACCTCTATCGCAAAATATTTATTTCCCTACCCTTATATTTCTTTAATTTAATAATTAATTATTAGGTAAATCATAAATTATTTACGAGGACAAACAATATATCTGGATTCTAAATCTGCATGTTATTTTCGTAATTAGGCTAAACCAGCACGACTTTTCTGTCGTGCACAACTGTCGGCCTGTTACGCCTTACCTTTAAATACACCCGTATTGAATTGAATATTTTCTTCGTTGTTTCCATGGCAACATTTTTGATAAAATTATTTTACTTAGTTTAATTTTTTTATTTAATTTGTATATCAATATCGTATTTTTCTTTAAAAACATCGAATAAACAAACAAAAGGAAAAGAAAAATTATAACAATTGCAAGTATTTAAAGGATATTAAATAAAAAAATGAGGATGGCCACTTTCTTTGCCTCTCAGCATAACTGCTTCTTTCTGATTCTAAACATCTTCAAATGTAATTAAATCTGAAAAAACTAAACTTCTTGATTTGACAATAAATGTGACAAATTTAACAATTAATATTTAGATAAAATGATAAATTATTCTGTTTATCGTTATTATATAATTAAATTTGCAAACTTATTCAATCAAATTGGAAAAGGTACAAAAAAGGTTCGTGAAATACATGATTTTAAAATGGGGCTCGTATGGGAGGAAAAGGAATTTGGTGTTTGCGTTCATGAATGCCGGCTCATGTAACTTGAGAATCGTAGCTTGGTCCTTGGTATAAGATTTTTATTCAAGTTCAATTGGATCTATTATTGTCGGAGTTATTAAGTGAAAAAAATAATCCTGAATTTCACCGAACTCATTAAGGACAGTGTGAGTGAATCTCTTTTATCAGTGGGCTTTTGACGATAAATTTGGCAGCATAGAGTTTCTGGGCTGTAAACTTCATACTTTTAAGAAAAATGTGAATAAAGTTGTCGGTGGCATTAAATAATTTATGCTGTTTCTATTAAGTATATATTTTGCATTGTAACGCGTTATGTGTCAGATTTACTTTTAACTTTGCACTCGGCATGCTGCTTGTTGGGCTGCTTATAAATTTTATCCATATTTCTTAGTATTCGTATATTAATTTTGTCAACTATTATGTAAGTCTCTACTACTTGGAAATTTTCCCGTCATGTACATAATAATAAAGAATAAAGAAAAGGGAATATTCCATACTGAATTGAATATTGTTATAATTGTTTCCATAGAACACTTTTGGTAAAATTGTATAACTCAGTTTAATTTTTTACTTAATTTATTTAGCTATATCTTATTTTTTAAATATCCAGTAAACAACAAGCAATAAAAATTATTATGATTGCAAGTATTTACTGAAAAAACGAGGGTGGCCACTTTTTTTTGCTATCAGTGCACGTTCTTTCTGATTCTAAAAATTTTCAACTGTAATTAAAGCTGAAAAAACTAAACTTCATGATTTGACAATAAATATGGAAAATTTAATAATTAATATTTAGATAAATTGATAAAAATAAATTTACGAGGGCAAACAGTTTATCTGTGCTCTAAATCAGCGCCTTTTATTTTCGTAATTAGGCTAAACCAGCACGACTTTTCTGTCGTGCACAACTGTAGGCCTATTACGCCTTGCCTTTAAAAAACCTCTTTTTAATGTGATGATAAGTGAAACAAAATTAATTCCAAGACAACGATGGAAAATAGATTAATGTAGCGAATTTATCTATTTAAAACTTTTCGTATCTCTTTCCGAATAAATATTTCAAAAGTTGGCCATGTTCAGATTTGTCATAAATTTTTCTCTTTCACGCCAAAACAAGTTCCGAGGGTGGATTTACAGGCTCATTTTCCACGATGCATTCCAATAAGATCGTTCTCAAAACAAGAAGGTTTATTTTCAAAATTGACTGGTATGTTGAAACTGGGCCAGTTCTGCGGGTTTTTCTTTTCTTTTTTTTACATTCACCTTAATATATTATTCAAGAAGGTACTAAACCACCTTGGTCGTAAACCGCGAAGGGGCCTAGTTTTACGGCGATCCTGTCAGTAAAATGTCAAGGGTGAGTCTCAACATCTATTTTGCAATCATTTGTTCATTTCTCGTCCTATTAATTAAAAAAATAAATAAATACCAGGAATTCTTATCGGGAATACTTTCAAAGTGAAAACATCTGTTATTTATTAATTCTGGGTTCAATGACTCTGACCTTTCTGCGGTCCAATGGTCTTCTAACTGGAATAAAAGCGAGACCCGCAATGAAAGAATATATGAATATATAACTGATAGAAAAAGAGAGAGAGAGAGAGAGAGAGAGAGAGAGAGAGAGAGACATAAGAAGAAAAATAAAGATAAAGAGTGAAGACTAAATAATGGAATTAATGATAGTGAGAGAAATAGAGAGAAGAGAAAAATAAATAAAAAAGTGGTGAAGTTTGAAGAAAAAAAAACAGATTCAAGAAAAATGAAAAGTTGGCTCACAGAGGGTGTTAGAAGAGGAAAAAACTTGGCATTAAAGATATGCAAATTTATACAAAAATAGGTATATATTACTGTTCCTCACTGAAGACACTGAAGAGGCGCAAAAGCAAAATGTGTTTGAGTGGGTGTAGATAGTCCCCCTAGTAAATGACATAGTTCGACTTGTGCAACATATTTTGTACCTGCGTTTATCATAATGGGAAAATACATAAATATGTTTTATTTCAATAGATATTTTATTGTAATCAAAAGATCAAAAGTGTATTTATTTATTCTGCGTAAATTTCAATGTTTTTTTTACAACAGTTCATTCGCTGCCGAATCTGACAGTGCTGAGCCTCTCCGGATGCAGTAAAGTGACCGATGAGGGTGTCGAGCTGATAGCGGAGAACCTGCAGAAGCTGCGGTCGCTCGATCTGTCCTGGTGCTCCCGTATCACGGATTCAGCTCTCGAGTACATCGCCTGTGATCTGAACATGCTCGAAGAGCTGACGCTAGACAGGTAAATTAAAAAAAAAAGAAGAAAATGTACAGTGGATTTAATGCGAGTTTTTGTGATTTTCAGGTGCGTACACGTGACAGATATAGGCATCGGGTACATTTCGACAATGCTGTCGCTATCGGCGCTTTTCCTCCGGTGGTGTTCGCAAGTGAAAGACTTCGGCATCCAACACCTCTGCAGCATGAGAAATCTTCAGGTGCTGTCCTTAGCAGGTAAGACTTCAAATCAAAACTAAAAATACGATCAATTAAACTGTGGCAGAAAGAAAAATGTGATGTCTGAACCACAAGAAACTGGACTGAAAATGCTCCCTCCCTTGTGGGACACCTGTATTTCATATAATTAAAAATTCCTAAATAAAAAATTTCTAGCGATGTAACAATTATTTTCACTTGTTTTTGCAGGCTGTCCTCTGTTGACCTCAAGCGGGCTTTCGAGCCTGATCCAACTTCGACACCTTCAGGAACTCGAGCTGACCAACTGCCCCGGAGCTTCAAGAGAGCTTTTTGAATATCTGCGAGAGCACCTGCCTCGTTGTCTGATAATCGAATAGAGTCGACAAACCATGTTTTTCTAATAAAAATAATATTTAAAAAAAAGAGAAAAAAAGCTTCTAGGTTAGAACTTTCCTAAGTTGTCTAGAGTGCCAAAGGCTGATTCTATTTATGTAAGTTATTTACAAAAAATCAATATTAAGTAGAACCAGGTATGCTGTTTTTCCTTTCCTCTGAAAGTGATTTGACCTATGTTTAAACAAAAGATTTAATTTTAAAAAAAACCAACGGCACTCTAGCGCAACCTATCAACATTTTGCTACTCTAATCTACAAAAGAAAATAAGGCGAAAGGCTCTAAATAAAATTCCCATTGAAGATATATTTTGTGTTAGGACCCCATAGGACAATTGAGGCTAATTTGAACCGGCAGAACAAATTTTTGAATATATTGTAAATATTGTTGACGACCTGTGCCTGAAAGAAAATTTTCTTTTGTCTCTTTTCAATATTTTCAAAAGAGCTGGAATTTTATGTATATAATGTGTTTCCACTTTGATGTAGACTGAATTCCATGTGTGTGATATTTGAGTGTATATTTTATTTTTCGTTTTGTATTCTATAGGTACATGAATTTTTTTTTCTTCACTATTCCGTGTTGGAGGGAACATTAAAAAAAGTCTTCCTTGATTGTAAACTCAAAAAAGAAACAATAACTTTTGCAAAGGCTTTATTTCTTATCTTCTTTGGTTGTTTTCTAATTTCTATATGTTTCTAGGGTTTTTTAAATTTTTTTTAATGAACTTTCAACCAGTTTATTTTTTTTATTTTCTAATGCATTTTCATGGTTATAATTTTCTTCTGGTTGTCTTATCAGGATTTTGTTAAATTGTTAGGGCTTACAATGCATGGAAATCAGAGGGAAAAAATTGATTAAAATTTTGGCAGTGAAGCCCGGCGACTGACCAACCTGTGTAAGGTCTCGTTCGGGTCAACAATCCTCGATACTTATAACTGCATAAAAGAGGAAAAAGCATAAAAGGAAAGGAGACTTCCTCGCCTTGGGGACCATAGATCATAGATTTCTTACGACAAAAGATCCATCTATTGAAAATTTAGACCAGGAGAAAGACTCCCGATTATTAAAAAAATCTCAAATTCTCGGCTGATGATAAAGGGCAGACTATGCATCAGCTGAGAACATCTGCAGATTTAGGACTGCCCTCCGCAGGCTGCAAAGTATCTTTTCATTGGAAGTACCCTATCTCATGGTAGGTCTTTCACCTTGGCTCCTTCCCCCAAATAAATTTGGCTTCATCTGCAATATTAATTTTTTATTTGTTCAATTTTGTTTCTTTTTAAATGCACTTACCTAAGGTGTCATCAACAGTCGACTCTCCTCTGCCCTTTACCAAACAAACTTTTTATGAGACCTTTTACTGTAGAGTTATCCACACAATTTATGGCTAAATTCTTTGTATATTAGGCATTGAAGGATGGTTTATTATTTTTCAAGCTTTATGCTCCTAATTTGGACTTTTGCTGCTCTCAGCTTCGACAATCTATGTACCATACGAAGCCAAGTGTTGTCTTCTCAAGTTGGGGAACCTTTTGTGGTCTTTCGAGTTCCAGCTCCATCAGGCCCAGGAAACCAAAAAAGCCTGGTGGTACTGGACAAAATCAGAACCCAAAAATACATTAGTAAATAAAAATAAACTGGTTATTTTTTAAAAAATTTGTCTCCCCTCCAAAACGACGTTGTTATTGTTTATCTTTCAAATAATAAATTAATTTCAATAAATTTAATAATAATAATAAGGACTGCAAGTATGTCCATGGCTTCTAAGAAGCTCTTAGATTAGATTTTCAGTACATCTATAATTTAAAATTAAAAATGTTGCTTAACAGGTGAATTTGTATTTAAAAAAAAAAATTAAAATAAATATGAGACTATTTTAATAATAAAAAATATATTTAAAAAAATGAACCGACTCAACAATAATTGCACTTCACTATGAGAGAAAACAGCACGTTTTGTAGAAATAAAAATTGTATAAATAAAAAAATCACCTCACTTGAAAATTATTTTTTACAATCAGGCGAAAAGCGACTCGACATATAAACAAAATAAATTCTACAAAATAAGGAAAAAAAACTTTTGTCTGCTTAAATGATGTATTTTTGCTGTAATCTTGTAAAAAAAATATTAATTTTATTGTAAATAAATCATTATATAAATGTTGAAGTATTGTAATTGTAATTATATTTTTCATAGCAGTAGGGGAAAAAAAAGTAATCTTGGGAAAAAAAGAATATGTAATAATAAAATTTAAGAATTAAAAAAAAAAAATTAAAAAAAGAAGGTTGTTTCGACGTATAAAAGTCATCCAGTGACATAAAAACTATTTAAAAAAAGAAATAATACACGAAAAATATCTGTGATGTAATTTTTTTTCTCTAGTCACGATAATAAACTTCGAATGAAAGCAACAAAGGGTTTTTATTTCATATAATTAAAATAGACTCGATCCTACATACCTTCCGTTTTCTCCTTCTGTTAAAATACTCTGTTATTTTTGTATGTAAAGGTGCGTACTTGCGATTCAATTTTTGAACGAAATCTATCGCGAGAAATTTCGATTCAACCGAGTTGTTCAAGTCGAGACTACCTTTTATTTATTCGAACAAAACCAGAAGTAAATGTCCATACGAATAATATTCATCTATAGACATGAACGCGGCTGTTGTAAAATATTTGTGTACTTATAATTTAAAAATTATTTATAATATTTTTTCTTTGAACTTATCTGATAGTAAGTAAATTTAGTTCATTGTTTTCAATAAGAAAGGCAAAATTATTAATTTTGTCGCAAAGACACACTGACAATGGGTTGAATTCCGAACCCCTGACAGAGCCCATTGAAACTATCAGATTTTCTGGTTATAAAATAAGTCCTTAAGTGTTTTTTGATGGTAAATTTGATGAAAAATTATCATACTTTATGTACAAATTTGATCACCAATACAGTACATTCTTGTTACCCGAGCTTCCACTTGGTTTCCCCCCCCCAGTTGAGTTGTAGAGGGGAGATTCGACCACAGAAGCAGAGGATAAAATAGAAGTAAAACTTCAAAAGTTGAAAGACAAAATCACAGAATATGATTCAATAGTGAAACGAAGCATTAACAAACACGACTGCTAACCCAAGCAATGAACCATCTTGTTTTCCTGCGTAAAACAACAATAAACTTTGTTTGTTGCCATACATTATATTTTTCTTATTGAAAAAAAAAAAAAAAAAAAAAACCCTGAAATGTGTGTACATAAGTTCATACATAACATTGAAGAAGGGTGAAAGTGTTTGGTTAAGCAGATAGAAAAAATAAGTGGCAACATCGGTGGCCTGGATGGGCAGAGACGCTCTCAGTTCCAAGAGCACTGTTGATAGGAGGTCCTCGAGGATCTGACCCGTAAAAAAAGTCTTATTACTTGATTAAGGAAAGGCCGTGGGAGATTGACACAGACACTTACTTAATGGGGCAAAGCCTGTACAGAAAGGTTGCTCAATGTGTCCAGGGTGTTTTCCTTGCCTCTATAGAGAGAGCGTGTAGGAATGATGTTGAGAATTGTTCTTGAGCAAGCAGTTTATATCACGGCCACTGTTCCCTTTCTTGGAGGAAAGTGTTGTTTTATTGTAGTGTTGTGTGCCCTAGAGTTGAGTAAATGTATTTATTAGCGTGACTGTTTATTATAAGAGTGTATGGAGTAATATTGCTTACCTGATCTCAATTCGGTTAGTTCACACATTCAATGCAGTTGACCCCACAGTGGATTCAAGCCCCTTCTTTAACAAGTGAGTTTTTTTCCTGCATTTCAGTTAGAAAAGTCGTATAATGCTCTGTAGGGTTTGAACGGTTCAGAACACTCTGGACTATCTTATTGTGAGCATCGTTCCCGATTCTCTAACCTTAAACCGCTAGGTAGCACTTCAAATGCATACCTACTTTCTTTTTCAGTGTTTGACATTTCTTCTAAATAATAATATTAAAAGTATGGTTTGTTAGTTTGTTTTTACCTAAAACCAATATTTTTTATGCTTAGTACAAAATAAATTAATTTGTTCTTTTTTTTACATGAGATTATTTTTAACTTACCTATTTTGTCTCCAGTTTTGTTGGAAACAAATTTTGTCGAAGTACGTAATTATAAAAGCAATATACAGAGTGTATCAACTTCTATAGTCCACCCATTTAATTCAGAAACGATTAACAAAAAATGGTCTTATACAAACATCAAGTTAATTTTGGCTAGGAATTGCATTGTGGTAAGATTTAACATAACTTTCTCATCTAGCTGGGAAATGAAAATCCCATATTTTTATTGTACAATTTTATTTCAGAGCTTATTTTATGCGTTTTACTGAAAGGAAAATTTTGATAGGATCGACCATTTTTAAGTTATGCCCGAAGAAAGTTGCATGAGGGGCTAACGATTAACTTTAGAAAAAAAAAGTCCTATACAAACCCCAAGTTAATTCAAGTTAATTTTGGCTAGGAATCGCGTAAATTTAATAATTATCTGTTACTATCACAAAAAAATGAATACCTTTCAGTCATTCATTGACCACAATTATCATTAGAGCAAACAAACTAACTTAAAGTACTAAGTAAGAGCCAATATATGCAAGAAAAGTGTCACAACTCAAAAAAGTGTAATTTTTTTAGGGGTGGTACAGCTGGATTTTTAAATTTTTGTATTTTCGCTTAAATCTTGGAGAAACAAAAGACAATATTGATGGAACGTGATAGTTTTTATTGCCAACAATCGTAATTGCGCGTACTTAATACATAAGTCAAAAAAAGTAAAATTCCAGCTGTCCCTTCTGTAAAATTATCTTTTGTTGAGCTGTGCCAATTTTCTTGCGGGTGTGCGATATAAATCAGTAATCAGTTAAAAAAATAAAATTAATAATAAACAACAATCATTTTAAAAGGGTATATATATATTTTATCTAATTTTTTTTACATTTTTTATTTATTTATTTTTTTTTTATGTATATTCAACTCCAAATTTTTACATAGGAAAATACAATACAATTATTAAACCCTGTGGAAAAAAAATCAAACATACTGAATATGAAAAGAAAACACCTTTTGTTTTGCCCTATTCTTTATTTTTAAAGCGTTTTTGTTGACTAGGATGACGGGCATGAGGGGGAGAAAAATGTGCGCCTAGCATTGCCGAGGGAGGCGTAAATCGGCTTAAATTACATACTGCCTAGAGTGAACTTAAGTCTAAAAAGTTGTTTTTTTTGCCCCTATTGAGTTGGACGGAAACATCCGGTTTCATGTTCTTTACGAATTTACAGATGTTTGTTTCTATTGGTTATCTTCACAATATACAAGGGGTGGAGGTATAAAAGTCGGTTCAGCATTTTTTCTTCTTTTTAAATATTAAATCTAAAAAATATCAAATTCCAATCGCTAATTATACCGAATTTATTTTAAATGTGGTCATTAATTTATATTTACTTCTATTATAACATGTAATGATTAATTTTTTATACATATAGATTATGTCAAATTAGGCCAGCTTGTTTTTCCCCTTTAACTGATATGTTATATTCTCTCCTGAAAGATTGTCTTTTATATATACATATGTATATAGAAAAAAATGTTATGAACAGAATAGCCAATATTTTGGGAAAAAAAATGTAAATTTGTCAGAAAGAAAAACAACCATCGTGTATTTTATCTATATTATTTGTCTTTTTTTCAATAATTAAGCATTAAAATTATTTTCTCTCGCTCTCTTTTCTTTTTCTTATATATTTTTTTTAAATTATTATTTTTTTATTTGTACAAATAGAGGAATGCTTCGTTGCATAATTTTAAGACACTTTTTCTGATCTTTCAATGAGATATCACAATATTTATACGGCGTTGTAAACGCAATGAGAGATTTATTTAAAATACTGGAAAAATACTGGATTACGTATCATCTATCAATAAATAAATAAAAAAACTATGATAATATATCACACTGTAAATAACAATAGATCACTTTCAACTCGGATTACCTTTTTTTAAATAAATATTATGTACAATGAGATTTCAAATAATTAAAAAAAATAAATAAATAAATAAACAACAAGAATCTTCAGTCTATGCTCAGATCAAAGTAATTTTTTTTAAATAATAGATTATTAACAACATAAGCAAGAGAATGAACAAGAATCTTTTGTGTAAGCATATTATTTTCTCTTTGAGAAAGAACAAGACTTACATTTCATACGGCCTGACTTATCTGTATGCTCTGTTTGATGCGATCGTAGTGGCAAACGCGATCGGGTATCGAAGCCTCCTCGAGGGGCAGGACTTCGTAAAGCTCGGCCAGTGAGTGAATGAAGTGGACCTTGTTGAGGAACTTAGAGCTCACGACAAACTTCGACATGGTTACGATCGTACGGAGTAGAAGCGTCGGGTGGACGAGGTAAAGCTTCTTGAGCTGCTTTCTCAAACGCTTGTCTATTATTTGATAATACCTGTAAATATTTATTCGTATGTAATAAAAATCTTTTCTGAAATTCTACCGTAAAGGAAATGTTACTTTCTAAGCCAGGAGAACGTTGGGATGCAATCTTTTGTAGCTCCGCCGTGGAGATAGACGAGGTGATAATCGTCAGTGACGAGCTCGTTGAGTGTCGCAAGAATATAAAGGGACAGGTTCTCCATTACATAATTGTAATCGACTCGGCTTCTGTTCGGAAGGAAACACGCTGAAAGGACAATAATCGCATTGCGAGAACCTGAATTGAGGTAGCCACCATGCGACAATACTCTTTTATATGGCTCAATAACCTATTAAAAAATAAATAAATAAAAAATAAAATTTTAATCAACAGTGGGAGAAATCGTAACTTACTTTCATGTCTATCCGGCATTCGTTGTTGCCAAGGTCGACACTCCTCCACGACCTGATGTCCTCTCGTTCCTCCTCTGCTGTGTACTCAGCTATGGGTTCGACAGAGCTGATTTGTTCGAGGATCGAATTTTCAAGGTCATCATCAGAATCAAACCTAAACATTTTTTTTATCTTTAATTTTATTTATATTTGTCAACAATTCACATTCACTCTCACACGCAAACAATCATTTATTCTTATTTACTTATAGAAATTCATTCACTCTAATGATTGTGGTTAAAAAATCAGTGATTGATGGTGAATATGAATGAATGAACCAGTATGATAAAATATTAATGAATGAAAAAAATCATTCTCAGCAAATAAGAATGATTTTTTTTCATTCATTAATATTTTATCATACTGGTTCATTCATTCATATTCACACCAATCACTGATTTTTAATCACAATCATTTATTAGATCAATCACACACTCGATCAGTCATTCATTCAATATCATTTACTGATAAATATTGATTCGTTCATTTTACCCTCAATCACTTACTCAATCATTCACTCTTATTTCTTAATAATAACACATTCATTCATTTTCAGGCACAATCATTTACCCAATCATTCATTCACTCCCATTTACAAATTCTCAATCATTCTTATTCAATGAAAATTATTTTTTCATTTATTAACATTTGATCGTACGGATTCATTCATTCGTATTCACACCAATCACTAATTTTTAACCACAGTCACTTATTAGATCAATCACACACTCAATCAGCCATTCATTCAATATTACTTACTTATAAAGATTGATTCATTCATTTTACCTTCAATCATTAACTCTTATTCTTCATAAGAACACATTTATTCATTTTCAGCCACAATCACTTACCAAATCATTTAAACACTAACATTTATAAATACTCAATCATTCTTACTTACTGAGAATGATTTTTTTTCATTCATTAGCATTTAATTATACCAGTTCATTCATTCGTATTCACCACCAATCACTAATTTTTAACCACAGTCACTTATTAGATCAATCACACACTCAATCAGTCATTCATTCAATATTGATTTGTTTATTTTACCCTCAATCATTCAGTCTTACTTCTTCATAATACATTCATTCATTTTCGGCCACAATCATTTACCCAATTTACTGTAAAGATTGATTCATTCATTTTACCTTCATTCATTCACTCTTATTTCTTCATAATAACACATTTATTCATTTTCAGCCACAATCACTTACCAAATCATATAACACTAACATTTATAAATACTCAATCATTCTTATTTACTGAAAATGATTTTTTTCATTCATTAGCATTTAATTATACTGGTTCATTCATTCGTATTCACCACCAATTGCTAATTTTTAACCATAATCACTTAGATCAATCACATACTCAATCACTCATTCGTTCAATATCATTTATTGATAAAGATTGATTCATTCATTTTACTTTCAATCATTCACTCTTTTTTCTACATAATAACACATTCATTCATTTTGAGCCACAATCTCTCACCAAATAATTCAAATACTAAAATTTATAAATACCACTAATTACAAATAATTAAGGTTTTTTATCTCAACTAAAAACCTTAAATATTTGTAATATATTAATTGGTCAAGCGGACCACAAAAAAAGTGAATTTAATACCACTAATTTTTAACCACAATCACTTGTTAGATCAATTACACACTCAATCAGTTACTCGATCATTCACTCTCATTTCTTCATAACACATTCATTCATTTTCAGCCACAATCAGTTTCAACTCCTCAATGATTTTTATTTACTATGAGAGATTTTTTCATTCATTTTCACCTACAATCCCTTGCCACTCAATAATTCACAATAACTCGATTTATCAATCTTTCACTACTACCATTCATCACATTGTTTTTGCCCACATTCACTGTCTCCCCACAAATACTGTCTCAGTCCAACCATTTTCCCTTACTCCCTCAATTAATCATTCACAATAATTTAATCTCAATCTCAAACATGTACACAAGCAAGATAAATGTTAAAATATGTATGTAAATTAATATCATCTCCTAATAGATTCAGGGCAGAAGTGCAAAAACACAGCTTTCCAGGAATGCTATTTTAAAGTTTATCCAAAATGGGCTAATTCACATTTTAGGTCTTTAGACATGAAAGATTGTATAATTGATAAAGTCAAGAAGGAAAAGGAAAAAATTTATAACAAAAATTGAATTTGTACCAAAGGTTGTCTAAAAAGGTTGTGTGTTTAGATTTATGCAGTTTTTCCTCAAGAGATAGGTATTTAATAAATTATTAATTTATAATTATATAATCACTAAAGGCATAATAGTCTAAAAATTAAATATTGTTTTAATTAATTATTCTCTTTATGTAAAGTCTTAAAGTCATACGCCGCTGCTCTTACTACTTGAGCTATCGTGACTGATGGGTTCGAATCCCACTCGTGACACTAGTTTTTTCATTTTAACCAAGACTTTACATAAAAAGAATAATTAATTGAAATAAGTAATTTGGTCAATAGACCAATAAACATAATGGATTAAATATTGTTCTGAATATTGTTTTTAAAATATTGATTTATTTGCATGTTTCAACTATTTTAAGATCCGTAGTATATTGGCTTATACACCAACTGTTGAATGTGACAATTCAACTTGTCTCAAATCAAATATTTGCTATTTTGCATTTTTCACCTGTATCTGATTGAAATAAAGAAAATGTATTAATTTAAAGTTGTGTCATGTGAATCCAGTTGATGATTCGGCAAATTTCTGTCCCAAATTTGAACAGGAACCAGAAACCTGACGAAACAGCCATTCGTCACATCTTTGGGCCATGTTCCAATTTGTTAAATTTACATTTAATTAGCATAAACATGCAGCGAAAATACTGTCAAGGGGGGACTGCAAGTTTAAATTTTAAAATAATAGAATATAAATTTAAAAAATCCGCTAAATTTAAACAGATAAATCAGCCGACATTCTGGACATTTTTACCCTACAAAATCTGTTTAGTCGCAATAACGAGTTTTAGTAATGATAACAAATAAACAACGCCTTAAACACAACCTTGGAATAGATAAAAACTTAACATTGTACTGGCTGTCACACTCGCATAACAATGATAAGCACACATGACACATTTCAAGAAAAAAATCAACACTTTTATTATGGTGTTTTATTAAGAATAACAAAACAGACTTGTTTCATTCCATAAGATATGGATTAATTAATAAGAATTAATATAAATAATCAGGATTTTTCTCTATTGGGAAATATTAAAACAAAATTCAGGTTATTTCTGGTTCAAAATAAAAATGTCCAAATTTGGTTCTATAAAAAATACAGTACTATCAGAAACAATACAACCTATTGACAACAATATATGACTCAAACATAAAAATGATACATTGCACCTTCTTTTATTGGAAGATATCGGCAGTAATCATACGAATCGACTACTGTAATAATCTTGTCACCATCAGCTGTCAGGAGTTTGTACTGATCGTAAGAATTAAACACAAATCTAAAAATGTCGGTACTGGTAATGATCTATTCAATAGAAAACCAAAATATATTTTTGGAGCTGTTATTATTAGAACTTATTGGCTATCATTTAAATCCATTGCTGTAATGATCTTGAGTACAGCAGTTGGTGGTTAGGCTCAATGATTACAAGGATCAAACATAAATCTTATGTAAATATGGTTACTATCATCAACGATCACAGTTGTCAATAGAAGCTGTTATTGTCATCTGAAAAATATAAATACTGTAACAACCTAGTATAGAGCAGTTGGAGGTTATCCTCAATGATCACAAGGATCAAACATAAACCATAAGAAACCATGATTACAGAGAATCATATATGATTGTTTTAATCAAACACTAAACAATCACAGAAGTTGTCAGAGGAAACTGATATTATCGTTTAACAGGTATAAACAGTATAATGATCTTGTATACGCAGTTGGAGGTTATCCTGAATGATCACAAGGATCAAACATAAACCATAAGAAACCATGATTACAGAGAAGTTATATATGATTGTTTTAATCAAACACTATAACAATGACAGATGTTATCAATGGAAACTGCAATTATTGTTTAAAAGGTATACACACTATAATGATATTGTATACAGCAGTTGGAGGATATCCAAAATGATTACAAGGATCAAACATGAATTTTAAGAATCCATGATTACTGTCATCAATGTTCATTTTAATGGAACAATATAAAGATCACAGTTGTGAGTACAAGCTGCTATTTTAATTTTAAACTTACAAACACTATAATAATTGTATTTACAGTTGCAGCCACTGGAGGTGTTCTCTAATGATCACAAGCATCAAAAATATGTAAATCTGAAGAAGCTGTGTTACTGAGTATCATCAATGATTGTTTTAATCAAACACTGTAACGATCACGGAAACTGCTATTATTGTTTGAAAAGTATAAACAATCTAATAATCTTGTCTACAGCAACAGCCATTGAAGGTTATCTAATGATCACAATAATCAAACAAAAAGCTAATGAGTCTTATGGCAAATGATCGTCTAGGGATAGGGATAAAAGAGGCGGCCACAAGGCCAACTGCACCTCGACCTGAAATAGATCTATTGTGCTCCCATGTTTTTTCATAATTCACTGGCCAGCTTCAGGTTGTAAATCAGCCTCCATACCTTTGCCAGTGGGTTATTAGTGTAGGCTCTTGCTTGCAGTTTTCCTGTCCTAGTTGCAAGAACCTCATTTCTGTGAACAAGGTGACAGAAACAAAGAATGTGTTCTGCGGTCTCCTCCTCTTCTTGGAAGTATCTATAGTGTTCCTTCTGTCTGTATCTGGTGCATGTGCTTTCTTAAGTGGCAGTGCCCTGTCAGGGGTCCAACCGGCACCTTGGTTCAGTTGCAGTTGCCTTCGGCTGTTCACATTACACTGGATTCGGCTAGAAAGCCGGAGTCTCAGTCCTCACCTCAGAGGTCAGACCTGAGTGCTCAATGGATGACGAAATTGTTGTGTTGTGGTGGTATTTTAGACAACATAGAGTAAAAAGAAAACATTGGGTACATCCTATTTTTCAGGAAAGATTTTCACTAGGAACATTTGAAACATTAATGGGTGAAATGAGTTCTTCACAAGAACGAAGAACGAAACCAAGTTCTTCAGTTATTTTTGAATGACAGCATCATCTTTTGATGTTTTTGTTTGTATTCATCTGTGTATTCCACAGTACAGGTCTCTCTTGGACCAGCCAAATTAAAGTTTCTGGGTTTGATTCCATGATATGCGCATGCATGCGTCTGACCTACAGAATGCAAACGCCGAAATGATCCAACGTGCCTGGGTTTCTCTTCCAAACGTGCTGAGCTACCTAATGAATAGGCTTTGGCAGTGCAGAGGTCGATCAAATTACATCAGACTGGGCACTGGCTCTCCCCAGTGACAAAACGCCCAACGAAAATGCCAGATCTGGCTAAATGTGAACTTCATCTAAAATGTACAGCCACTGCCTGTACATATTCCAGTAATTCTTTTGCAAATTTTGCAGATGGTCTTTCTACTTCACGTGCCTCATACCTGGGGTATTGTTCTACCAGGTTTTGGTTTAAGGATATATTTTACGAATATCCTCTTTTGTAACAGGATGCTAAACTGCAGTAGACTTCATGATCCAGAAGAAAAAAAAAGATCATTTAAAACACCATAATCACCTCAACATCTACTGCTGTTAGAGATTATCGGCAATGAGCATAGGAATCAAAAGTAGAAGCTATTTGCTATCAAACTGACATATTGACCGACACGATGCTAATGTTTGAGCATAAAGGCAGTTTATAAGTCAGTTTGTGCCAAGGTTCTGGCTCGAATTTGTACCAGGAGAAAAACTTGCCCGATTATCGCGTGCTAGATCAGCGAACCATGATTCAATACCAACTTTAATAAGTTTAGAGGAATTATAACGGAAATTTTAGTTAGAATTGAATGGCTAGAATCTTGAAATATTTGATGCTGCACCAAGTAGATGGGCTGGCTTGAATTTGTGCTGCAGAGAGAAACAAGTGCAAATACATTATTCAGTACAATGAAGAGAGAGTTGAACCTAATGGGTTCGAGCTGAGATGACCTACTCTTTTCAAGTCCATTACCTATAGTTCATCTTCAAATAGGTTCGGCATATTTTATATGGTATTTTCTACATGTTAATTTTGATCGGTTTACCCTTGGCTCAGCGTGTTGTCCAAGACGGGGTTCATCGTCGAGAAGACCTCCTCCGGGAACGGTATGATCCTCCTCCTCGTGTTGCCTTTCTGCAGTCTGCAGTCCTGCGTGTCCGGGCTCAGCACGGCCTGGTAGAGTGACTTGTCCTCCTCCGGATCCGAGTGGTAGCCCCCGGCCGCCTCTTCCTGGGCCGTCCCGATGGACGCATCATCAGCGCCGGGGCTGTCCGCCGATGACGAGCCCTCGCTGTCCAACGGGTGCCTCATCACCGTCCTGCAGTACGTTCCGTCCATCGCGTTCCACGGCCGGTTCCACCGTCAAATCATAAATACGAGAACGGTCGCCACACCACCGACAACCACCTCTTCATATCATCGGTCCTACAATCACTACATCGATTATTTTTACAATTGATCTTCAATCACTCCCCTGCATATTTGTTACACAACTCACATCAACGATCAAACAAACAAAAATTCAAACAAAAACATTTTTTTAAATCATAATGCCAAACGACTAAAATTCGAAAAAGGATCCAGTCCATACACATTGACGAACCGATTCGATAGTCGATCTACTCTTATCGCCTGATTTATCAAGTTTTACCTCCCAAATTCAAACCGTATCAAGGCCAACCTTAAAATACAACTATTGAAGATAATCATATAAATAATCAAATAATTTATACAAAAAGACACCAGTGAAGTACCTGCTGGGACTAAGTGACAAAGTAACCTATGGCTCAGCAATCTTGTAAACCAAAGGTCAGCAAAAACAAGCTACTCAAACATTAGGCAGTGTACTGGCATACCTATGTATCACAGAGCTGTGCCAGGGAGATAAAAGGGCTGGGTATTGCCAATAGAAGAATAGCCATCTAATCGGACAGCCATGTGGCACTGGAAGACATTGCTGCATTGGTGGTGAAGTCCCAAGTCGCTTGGGACTGCATTAGAGCACTGTCAGACATAGGGGAAAATAATAAAATTACCCTTGTGGGAGTACCAGGGCACACATGAGAGGCAACAAGAAGGCCAATAAACTGGCAAAAGAAAGTTTGATCAGTATCAACCCTAATCTCTTTTGGCATACCAAATTGCCAAAAACCTAGATTCACTGGACAGAAGATTAAAAATAAGTCCTTGGTTCAATTTTAGAACATACGCATAGGAAAAAAGTTAATTAAATGACCATCACAAAAATTAATGGCAGAAATCCAGATATGGGATTAAATCAAGCCCAAAACATGTGCAATCAATCTCATTAGGGAAGTACACCTAGGTCTTTCAAGCTGAAAAGAGGTTGCACTAGCAAAAATCCTCATAAGATCAGATAGCCAAGGCAAAAGGAAAAATGGATAAACTGTAGGGGTGCCTAGAAAAAAGCTTATGCTAAAACAACCCTCACCAAAGCAAACACTGCTACAATCCGAGAGGACTAAACTAAAAGGAGTGATAGGATCATTGTCATCTGAGAAACCATCTCCACAAAGTGGGATAACGACCAGCAATGACAGTACTAAGGATGAAGGATCGAAACAAACTAGGCAAATGCAATAACTCAGAAGGCTGCAGCACTTGGAAAACACCCCCCCCCCATTTCTTAGTTCACCAGTTATATTGTTTTAAAATAGATAATTACAATTTAATTTTTCATTCTGTTTACTTATCTGTGACGCGGAAAATAATATGGTCTGTACTATTACAGCTCACAGTAATTTGGTTTAAATGTTTTGATTAATTTTAATTTTTTTTTCTTTTTGTGTTTGATAGATTTAGAGTAGAACATTTAGTGAATGTGTGTTTTTTAAATGTATTATTATTATTAGGGTTGTAAATGTTCTAAAATTATTATTAAATATACTTTAGAATTTAAAATATTTTAATAAAAAATAATATTCTTTCTGGGTTAAATTAGAAATTTTTTACTCAGTTTCAAGATCTAAAATTCGCTATGCAGCTGAAGTTTGAGGCTTTTTATGTTTTGATGCAATAGATAAGTTGTTTCTATCTTTCATTAAAAGAATACTTCATCTCCCTTATAATACACAAAATTATATTATATATTTAGAAATAGGCTTGTTGATTTTTGTCTATTCTCTCTGTTTGCACTTTGGAGTACATTGGAAAAGGTTTATCATTACCAGATTTTAGATTGCCAAACATTTTATCCAAAGAAGTAATTCAAAAGAATAAACTATGGTACAAAGAGGTCGTGAGTACTTGTGATTGTCTGCAGCTTGGAGCTTTTGATTATTTAAATAAAGAAAAAGTAAAATTGTTATTGGAAAAAGTTAAGCAAGAATTTAAAAATAGCCAAAGGGAAAAAGTTGCAACAACCTACTTTCCATAGTTTATACTGGGGTCTGAATTCAGAACCAGGTGAAAATCATTATATTTCTGATAACAATGGTTTTCATTTTATGAGTGCAATTTTTAAACTTAGGGGACAATTATTGGGTTTGAATTATAATGTCAATCGTTCTGAAGGAAGACATTTATGTTCTATGTGTTTTTATTGTGTAATGGAATGAAATAGAGGACTTGTACCGTTATGTGGTGGTGTGCGCTATTTTATGAGAGTTCAAGGTCAGATGGTTTGGCAAAAATACTTTAGAAAAAAATGGAATTGGTTGAACTCTTAAACAGTTCTAATTGGAATTGTTTATGCAACTATCTCATCATATAATGTGTGTGTGTGTGTGTGTGTGTGTGTGTGTGTAATGTATGTAACTTAATGGCTAAAAGCCGGCTTATATAGATGGACTCTGTCCATGTATTAGTGCCCTTGTATAGAATTTTGAAACTGAAACTTTGTATACATTTAAATAAACACTTTATTATTATCATTATACCCTCAGAATGTGACATATTAATTCTGTTGTTGTCATGACGTCACACCGAGGCTGCTTGTGATCCAGTTTCAAGGTCACGAGTGTTGTCACCCAAGCACGGTGTACCATCCTCGGTCGGATGAATCACGCCGAGCCGGCCTCACCCCGAGTTTCCTTTTTCGCTGGAGATTTTCACCGAGGAAATTCAAATTTCGGAAAATGTGGAAAAGCCAAGACTTCGGAATCAACCCGATCACCTGCCACGCCTGGAACAAGACAAGCACACGTAATTAGCCGAATTAACCTTAATTTAGTCCATTAAAAAAACAAACAAAAACTTTGTACCCTTAGCTGAAGTCACTTTTCCAGAAGTTTACAGTCATTTTTTCAATATAGAAGCTTATTTCTGTACTTAATCAAGCCCAGAAAAGTACCGGTTAAGTTAAATAAGAAGTTCAACATGTTTTCTTCTTATTTGGGGTGTGCCTCTTCCTCCTTATCAATTTTAGCATGAGCACAAATTTTAGTCTTATTTATTTGAAAAAAGATCAGATACCACACAGTTTAACTATATAAACTATTCATCAATAATATTCTAAAGCTTTGAGATCTGGATTGACTGAAAAGAGTCGGCTGCATATCCAGGTATCTTATGCCCTAGGGGTAGGTTTTGTCCAATCTGTCGATTAATAGTTGGACAATTTTTTATTTGTGCATTGGAAACTCAGTTAAGTTGAGAAGTAATAGATTTATTAGATTTTTTCTTGGAATTTGCAGGATGAAGGAATTGTAGGTTGCTTGTTTCCGATCATTTCCATATGTGTAATCTCGCTTTTTTGGTTCGTAAGATGTCATCATCATGAATTATCACGATAGTTTATACAATTAGTTTAGAAATGGTATACGACGGGGAGAAAAATGGCTGATCATTTATTTATTTTAATTATTGACCATTTCAGAACTGGCTCTTAGTCTGAACAACAACGAGGTCTATATATACCAAAAGGGCTCGAGTGACTCGTATCTTGATTGGACGCTTATCGATGTCCTTGACCAGCACAACTTGAGGGTGACTGGGATCGACTGGGCACCTGAGACCAACCGAATAGTCACGTGCGCCGCTGTAAGTCTTTATAAAAACAGACGCAATTTTTATTCTCGTTATTATTGCTAACATAATTTCAAAGTTTTTATTTTAATTTCAGGATCGTAATGCATATGTCTGGACGCAGACGGAGGACGGCAAGTGGAAGCCGACGCTCGTATTCTTGAGAATAAACAGGGCTGCTACTTGTGTCAAATGGTCGCCGAAGGGTAAGTGGGTTTAAAAATAAATTTTAAATTTTTACACCATTTGAGGTTGACATGATTAACCTGAAGTTTGGTCTTGCTCTGCCTTCGGCTTGATTTGGTTTGTCAGGTGTGTTGCCATTTCACTACCTTCAGTATTTGGTTATGACTGAGGATAAGAACTTTTTCCACCTTATTTGCATTTTAAATAACGTGAATTACAATTAATAGAAGATAAAATTCTCCAATGTAAACAGGGAAATGCTGAAATGCATATGACAGTCCAAAACATCAAGGATGATAAGAAACGACCAAACTAAATAATTTTTTTTGCCCATTTAATAATTTTCATTTGCATTAGAAAACAAATTTGCTGTTGGTTCCGGTGCGAGGTTGATTTCAATATGTTACTTCGAAAGTGGGAATGACTGGTGGGTGTCGAAACACATCAAAAAGCCGATTCGATCGACGGTGACCTGTCTAGACTGGCATCCAAACAACTACCTCCTCGCCGCCGGTTTTGCAGATTTCAAAGTCAGGGTTTACTCAGCGCTCGCGAAAGAGATTGAAGGGTCTGACATCCCGCCAAGTAAATGGGCGAACAAAACAACTCTGGGGACGATGGTAGCTGAATTTTCCAACTCACCTTTTGGAGGTTTGTCTATATAAATTACTATTTTTATATTTTTTACGTTATCGTTGAAATTTTTTAGGTGGATGGATACGGGGTGTGTCATTTTCACCTGATGGCAATAAATTAGCCTGGGTCGGTCAAGACTCATCGATCTGTCTCGTCGATATTACAAAAGGTCTTCAAGTACAAAAAGTCAAGACGATTCATCTGCCCTTCCTCAACTTGATTTGGGTTGGGCCCAATTCTATCGTAACAGCCGTAAGTCGTTTATAAATAAACCAATTCTTCTCTTATATTCAAATTTATTTTTAAACCTTTAGGGTCATGGCTGTTGTCCATTTTTATACGAACAGAATACAAATGGGCAATTTCAATACAAGTACAAACTTGACGTGTCAAAGAAGAAACAAGGAGAAAGGCTGAGGTATTTTTCCCCCTTTTTACAAAATTGATCGAGTTATTAAAACATTTTTGCCTTTTTAGCGCGATGAAAAAGTTCCAGAGCTTGGACAGGCAGGCGAGAGTCGAGGCTTGCGACATCGTGCTCAACACCGTCCACCAGAATGCGATAACATGCCTGCAGATCTACGAGGGAAAGAGGGGAAACACTGTCAAACTCTCGTCTACGGGTATAGACGGCCAGCTTGTAATCTGGGACTTAAAAGTAAATTTCCAACTTTTAAAAAAAAGAAGAAAAAAGTACACTAAATTTGTTCTTTTTTATAGGAAATTGCTCAGCACATTGCCAACCACGGTGGCGGGGAGGAAGAGAACGATATTATGGTTTGTTAATTTTTTTTTAGTTTACAATTTGAAATAAATTTAAATGTTCTTCTTTTAAGTTATACATTTTTTAGGATAAAGCAATTACTTTTGGAGAGAACGACAACTGATAACCTATCTGGTAAACCATTTAAACAATGAATGTATTTAATCTCGTACGTCATATTATTTTTATCGAATACTTTTCTTTAAAAAAAAAAAAAATGCTTTTTTAAAGGCAGTTTTTTATTTTATTATGATTTTTTTTTTAATGCAAAAAATAACCAAACTGTCTACATGATATGTACATATATTTGTTTTAATGTGTAAGATTTATATCTTTGTCGCAAGGAAACAGAACTATATCATTTATTATTTTCAATCTTTGTCGTTAAAAACCAGCCGATGACACAGTTGGAAAATTTAATGCGTAAACGATTTTAAACTGTTTTATATCTATTATATGAATATTGTATTATTTAAATTTATTATTTGGTTAAAAAAATAAAATAAAATAGTGGTATCTATTCATTAAAATAGAGTTTAATTTAAAAAAGAAAATTTCTTTCACCCTCGAATCCTTGAATGTAATTTATTTGTTGTGCAAATTAAAGGCTTGAGTTACAACCTTAAAAAATCCATCAAGAGGAAGAAAACAATTTAATGATTTTGCAATAAAAACACTAAAAGACGTTGATTTACCTAGGAGAATTGTTACTAACAAGTTGCACTTTAAACTCGTTCTTGATTATACTTACTCAAATACATATAAAGTTTTCTGCCTCGACCTGCTTATAACCCTGACTGTCTTGATCTGTTTTTATAAATATCCTTACATTTTGAGCCTTGTTGTAATTAAACGATCGAGTTTAAGGGTTCCCCTGGCTTACAGTTGGATTTATTGTTCAGCAAACGTTGTGCTGGTTTGTAGATCTTTGTGGTAGTGGAACGATGAACTTGGGTGAACGATTAGACCTCCATAAATAATTAATGAGAAGTATTTGATAACGAGCAAATGTGGTTTGACATAATAAATTATGTTTTTCTATTCAAACCGAAATTTATGTCTCAGGTTTCACTATTTTATGGAGTGTTTCCAACCAAAGATGTAATAAAACAGATAATTCAAAAAAAATAATGGACAATAATAATAAGAAATGGTGGGAAAACTCCATACGAGAAACCCTGAGATAATCGAAATTTCAATGAGAAGAATACCACGTCAACAATGCGAGTTGTTCAACCACATGGACAAAGTTCGCTTACTTGATGAATATTTGTGCATTTTGAAGCGGACAGGAAACTGACTATTAGCCGAGCATGGCGAGAACCGAATATTATTGCTCGGCAAATAACCCACATTTGTCGGGATTCACTGAACCTTCGGTGGATCCCGTGTGACTGGAGCCACCTTAAGAGAGAACGGTTGCGGCACACCTAATAATAGGACTTTATAGGTTTACCCAGTGATTTCTCATGGCAAATGGAATCTCTTTCAATTTACCAAATCTGTTCAGAGCTACTAACAACCTAATCATGTTTTCAGTTTAATAAAAATGGTATATTCAGTGCAGGTGAAATATTGTCTGATGATAGTCACAAAATAAATTAACCTGTTCAATCCCCTTAGGATGACATCTTATTAAACAATTAGAAAACTAATTAAACAGTTTTCCCTGTAACACTAAAATCAGGGTGCTGTGGTCCTGGTATTGTCAGATTGTCCCAAACGCAGCCTTGAGGAGTACTGCAACTAGGCTAACTCCTCATTATAAAAATACAAAGTGTAATGAAGTCCTCACTGGGATTGCACAGTGGGAGTGACATGATACAATAGAGGTATTTCACTATAAATATAAGCAATTACCTTATTTTAACTTTAGCCCCTTGTACATGTAGATGTAATATTTCAGGGTATGGTATACTGCGCCCTTTGAGAGCTATTGTATCCCCCGTTCTCTGCCTAAAGCACATCGGTGAGTCCTATTTCATCAAGAAACTTGATTAATAGGCCCGGTTTTAATGGTTGGAGCTCTTCTATGGTCACATTGTACATCCCAAAACATTTCCTCCTGTAGGCTAATGTAGCTCCGCAGTTTGTTAGTAAGTGTGTTGGTGTCTCTTCTGCTTCCTTGCAGAATCTACATGTGCCATCTTGGATTATTCCAATTTTCTTTAAATGTCCATTTAATCTACAGTGTCCTGTCAGGAATCCTGTTAGGATTCGCAGTCTGTTCCTGCTTCCTTTGACACATTCTGTGATTTCTTTCTTGCCAAAGTTGGTTAGAAAATTCTTGGATTGTCTGTGTCCAATAAGTGAGTTCCAAAGTTCGCTCATTCTCTTTTTATCCTTCTGTCTGAGGTATTCGTTGATAGTGTGTGTTCCTATTCCACAGAAGGGTTCAGGTCCTATTAGCGGTGTGGCAGCCCCTTTTCTTGCCAGGGTGTCCGCTTCCTCATTACCTTCTACTCCCATGTGTCCTGGGACCCAGCAGAGGCTGACTTTATTCTGCGAGCCTAATGTATTTAATTTGGTTTTGCAGTTCAGCACCATCCTTGAACTAATGGTATTTGAGCTTAGTGCTTTGATGGCTGCTTGGCTATCTGACATGATAGCTATATTCTTGTTTTTGTATCCTTTATTTAGATTGAATTGGATACATCTTTCAATTGCATGAATTTCAGCTTGGAAGATACTGGTGTGCTTTCCCATGGGTTCTGAGTATTTGGTTCCGGGTCCGAACACTCCTGCCCCCGTACCTTCCTGTGTTTTAGATCCATCTGTGTACCAAAGGATGGTGCCATTTTTGAGGGAGTTATTTCCCTCTCTTTCCCATTCCTTTTTGGTGCCCAGATGTATTCGGAATTTTTGGTTAAATTCAAACCTCCTGTTCATGTCATCTCTTGGAGCCATGAGTGATGGATGGTTTTTCCACAGTTTGTTTCTGTCTCTCCATTTCAGTTTTATTCCTGTTGGAGGTTTCTCTCTGATAAAGTTGATTATGGTTTTCTGTGCTGTCCTTTCTACCATGTGATGTAGGGGGATTAGTCCAAATTTCTTTTCCATGCTGATTGTAGGACATGTTCTCATTGCTCCCGTTATGCAGATGCATGCAAGTCTCTGTATTTTTGTGAGTTCTTTCCTTTTGGTTAATTGTTCCACTTTATCAGCCCAGGCTATAGCTCCGTATGTAAGTAAAGGTCTTACTATTATGGAGTACATCCATAACAGGGTTTCTGGCCTACATCCCCAGTTTCTCCCTGCTATTCTTCTGCACACCATCAAAGCTCGTGTCGCCTTTGTGATAATGGAGCTGATGTGTTCCTTAAATGTTAATGTTTTATCTAGTATGATGCCCAGATATTTGACTTCATTTTTGATTTCTATCACAGTGTTGTTGAGTTTGATTTCTTTCATGTGATCTGATTGTGCGTCAGATTCTTGGTTGTGGATGTGTCATTTGGCATCCGTGAGACAACCGATTTGTTAGAAATGCCCGGAGAAGTTTCTTGCGCCTCTTTCAATGTCACTGGACTTGAAACTTCGACCTTAGACTTCATTTTGATATCTTCTTCGTCTACAAACCAACATATAATCATATTGATTCGTCCTTTCTTAACTTTTGCATACCTTTGTGACACAAGACAGTTACTTTGTCTAAAATATCAGGCTATTCCAGTTAAAATAAATACTCCAGCATACCTAGACTAATAGACAGTGTTAACACTTTACCTCCAACTGTTGATCTTTGTAATTTTTCATTTAATAAATTAATCTAATTTTTTAAAATTAAAAATGTACATGCCTTTGTATCATAACATATATAGAATATTGATAGAATAATAGAACATAATTTTATATTGTTAAAAGTTTAGTGAATTTTTAAAAATTCTATATTAATTTTTTTATAAACATTATGAAACTCAAAATTATTTGAGGAGTTATTTATTTGTAACTGTTTTTTTTAAATCTAAAAATAATAAATTAATGAATTCAAGAATATGGATGTTCATGACGTACCTGATAGTCTACTATGATTTAAACCATTTATACATGAAATATAGATTATTTTATTGTAAATAAAAAATCGGTTAATTAAATTAATTTAATTTTCAAGTCTATCTTGTAGATTTATTAATAATTAATATTATAAAATGAAAGTGAGGTGATAATAATTAAAGAAACCTTGTTGAAACCTTCCAGTTAGAAAGTTGTTTATTAAGAGCGTAACACGTGGCTGTCGCAGGGTAGAAATAATTAGTTAATTAAGGATGTTTTCTTTAAGAACGTTTAGGAGTAGAAATGATTAATAATTAGTTATTTCAAATTAATTCAAATTTTGTTAGTTTTATCTTTTTTTTTTGGTTGGTGGAATTTGTTATATTTTGTTTTTTTAATTGTTTTCAGGGTAGTGTTTGACTGAAAATGGGCAGAAAAAGAAAATTTACGAAGTTGGATAGGAGGGAGAACAAGCGTCGAAAGCTTGCCGCACTCATGACTATGTCGGAGTTGAACGATGGCGACAGGCTCGTAAGTGTATTCAGTACTCGTACATACGACTGTATTTGACAAGCATGACCAATTGGGCAGAAACGTGAGACGTTCAAGCACGGCTGGGCGCTGAAGAAGGATGGAGGAAGGCCGAACGCCGAAGAGCATCCGCAGCCGGCCAAGGAGGAAACGCAAAAAGTCGTTAAAACGACGAATAATACGACCGTAAACATTGTTTAGCCCAATCGGCACTTTTTGTATCTTTTACAGTTTTTATTATATCGATTTTATTTTCAGAGTAAGGATATGAGTGATATGGAACTGGCCGAACTGAAAAAACTCTACCGTGAGAGGTGCGCAATGAAATTTGTAAGTTTTAAGGCCTCTATCAGTCGATGCGGTTTGGTTGATTCACTGTTGCCCGGGTGACTCTCGACTAGTTCACTACTGTGTGAAGACTTTCTTTTCTGGTTTCACACTAGGAAACTTGTGGAATAAACATTTCTTCCCAACGGGAGGTCAGTACGATGTTAGAACTCAGGGAAGCAGGAGCCCTTCTTGTTCTCGCTCTTCTGCAAAAAGAAAAGCAAAAAAAAGGAGGAAACCCAGTTAAAAAAAAAGCGTGGGTTTATCTGTTGTTATAAAATTGGGAAACGTGCACTTTCTCACAAATACTGTTGTGCTACTTCCGCCCAAGCTTCATTTTTTGAAATTTTGTCGCTTTACTCCCCAAACCTCATCTCTCATATCATGGGCCTAATACGAATTTCTTCAATGAACTGCTTTCATGGTGAACTCAGTTGACTCAACTAGGCGACATGTGAAGGACGAATGCCGAGCAGTGTCTTGAGTTGACTGCGCAGTTGAGTTGTCTTGAGTTGAGCAGATGAGTTGACTGCGTGTGAAGGGGCGCCTTTTCATCATTTGCTGCCTGGGCTACACTCCTTGACATCCCCGTCCATTCAACTAGTTGAATCAACTAGCCGCCTCGTCTGAAAAAGGCTTAAGTCTTTTTATATCTTGGATAGATACATTTTTTACTTTGCTTTTATGCTTAAACAAACAATTATGAAATGTATTTAATCAATAATACACTTGGAAGTGCGTACTCTGGGGATGTGCTTATTTACAAGAGGATTTGCCCCAAACTGCACTCGCCACATTCTTCAGCGTCTCCCGCAACTTCCTGGGTCCTTGACAGTCGATTCTATCTGTCGCAATGGCTAGGTCTGTCCTGGCTCTGGCTGGCTGAGTCCCCTACTGAATGTGGCTGCTTGACTGAGTCCTACAGTAGACTGTGCTCTCACCTAGTCCATTCTCCTGCCCACTATTTTTGAAATACTTGACAATACGTGTGCCGGATGTCTTTGCTCACCCTCTGCCTAGCTGTCTGACTGGTCCTCAACTTTTCCTCCCGTTGACTTTGTTTTTCAAATCCAAGGAAAAGCGAAAACTATTGGGCCATATGGTCAACTCCCATCTTACAAGGGTCAATCATGCAACAACTCGTAATTCTCTGTACTTTCCATTATGCATCTCCCTGTTCTCTTTTCGATGGAAAATCTGGCAAAGAGTGTACAAAGCCCACTAGGGCGCAACCCCAAATTTATGGTGACGCTCAGCTTGATAAACTCTCCAAGACTTGTGACAAGGGTTTTGAAAACATTTCTTTACTCCCTTTTGGGTGGGCGACCCTTCAGATTTACGGCCCCATAAGAAACATGTCTGAAATTCTGTACAACTATTTTTAATTTATTGTTAACACCGTAGCTGTCTTTACTTTTACTTTTTGTTTTCTTCCCTGGTAATTTCAAACCTTCTTTTCTCCTTTTCTTTTTTTCTCTCATTATAATTAAGAAAATCTTAGAAGTAAAAGAAGAAAGGATTCGTAATTTACTTTTAATATATATTTTTTTCATTGGAGAAAGTCTTTCTATGTGTTATTGTTTTTTAACCTTGGGTAGTGGCCCTGAGTATCAAAGGGCCGTCGCAGGCTCAGGCCACGATCTTATCATGTTCGAATATGATCGATTTATTTTATAAAATTAATCATTGTTTTTTAATTTGAATTTAACTTGCAGGTACATATATTTTGTTTGCATGTTATAGAATAAGAATTAATTTTTTTTATATATTGTACAGGGAAAGTTTCAGCATTCAGTTTCTGTTTTTTCCTTTTTTTCTTTTTTTTCTTCCAAGGAGCTTTTCTTTAATAAATTCAAAGGCTTTCTTAATATTTACATTTGTACCGTCTATATTTCCTTTACAGCTTCCCTTCTCTCCTTTTCTCCAGCGCCAGTGACTGGTATTGTTGAACCGGAGGGGTGGTTGTGTGAGAAAATCGAGCAACCCCCTCTCCAACACTTATATTAACATTTCTAGCTTATACTAAGACAGACCGACATACAGTAAATTTATTTGTTTAGAATCGTCCTAATTTGAGGTTAAACGAATACGGCATGCAGTCTTCCATTGAAAATCCGTTATCGTCGAGGAGGCCGTTATTTCTCAGCGATGTTCAACATTTCCTCATATATTCTCAGCTCCAACACCACACAACAGGGAACATCCCAAGGTTTGCCATCATTCACGATTAATCCTAGTTATTTAAATTTAACTATAAATAAAAAAATTACAGGTGGATCAAATTGGACAGGTCGAATAATTTAAACAAGACGATTTTTTTAATAATCGAAGGCGTGTCGTTAAATGATTATACGAACAACAAGGTTGACTGGGTCAACGCGTCCTCTTTCGAACACAAACTGGAAATTATCAGCCCGTTGAGCTACGGCGGCAGTCTTATCGAGGAGATGGCGACGTTCCCTTTAACAAAATCACAAGTCCATAAATATACAAAACGTACGCTTGTTGATATTTCTCCTTAAAAAAAACTTTTAATATAAATTAAATGTTTATTTTCTTTCCGACCCTTTAGGATACGGCTCTTTGAAAGAAGCATCCCTATCGCAGATCCTGTCTAAGGTGGTTCGTACGATGTACCCGATCAAAGATTTTGCAAATTGTCTCGATCGAAAAGAAGAAAAGCCGTCGATGCCGCCTTCGGCCGATACGTTTCCAAGGACTGATCTAATTATGACCCCTTGGCAGATGATCGAAGAAAACTACCCCTTGCCCATGTCAGGAACATTGAAAAAACAGTAAATATACAATACAAATTATTATTATTTTTAGGTTTAAACATGATGAATTCAAAAGGAACGGATATTTGATTCCAGCTTGAGGCTTGTCTTACTCTCGTAATCGATAAGCTTTGCTCATAATGAGAATGATTGACAGTCTGATTTAAAAATAGTCAATATGTTTTAATTTATTTTTACAAACTTATAACTGGATTTTTTTTCTTTTTTTAAGGTATGAGCATTATGTTTATACGAAAGATGTTTATTATGAAGTGTCGGACAGCTCTCCGATATGGGCGATGGACTGTGAGATGTGCATGACGACAAAAGGCAGCGAGCTGACCAGTATTTCCATTGTCGATGAAAGCGGCAAGGTATAAATCTATAAACTTAATGCTAAATTATTAAAATATAACTAGACCAAAAATGAAAATGGCGAGGTTAGACTGACAAACTGTAAAATAAAAAAATGAAATTTCAGGTCGTTTACCATACCTTGGTCAAACCATACAACACTATTACAAATTATCTTACGCAGTTTTCCGGCATATGGCCTGGTATGTTGGACAATGTCTGGACGAGGTTGGAAGACGTACAGCAGAAGATAAAAGAGATCCTCCCGCCCGATGTCATCCTCGTAGGCCACTCTTTGGGCAGCGACCTTCACGCCGTTCAGGTACGCCGGGCGATTCTTAATTTGTTGACATGCGATTTTCAAATTAAAAAAAAAAATCTTTAGATGATGCACCCGTACATTATCGACACGTCCTTGATATTCAACTTGACCGGGAATAGCCGTATGAAATCGAAACTCAGGGTCCTGGCTGCACAGTTTCTCGGCAAGAAAATCCAGTGTGACCAGAGCGGACACGACCCGACCGAAGATGCCTTAGCCTCTTTACAACTTGTCAAAGTGAAACTGGAACACAGTAAGTTTCTGTTTGATCGAACAAAACAACACATAGACCCAGTATATTGTTCATAGTGATCAGTTTAAAATAATACGTTTTGGTTTTGTTTTTAAACTCAAGGCATCGGTTGGGGAAACGCGCTTATAGAAGGTGTTGTTCCGAAGGAAATGTTGCTAGCGGCTCATCAATTTAACATAGCGAGAGAAGAAGAAAAGAAAAAAATGGAAGAATACAAAATCGACAAGAGAAACGAACTCGACTTTAAAAAAGTGACGATCGAGTCGACTGTTGGCAAGTCGAACAAACAAATGGCGCAATTCGAGTCTATATATATGTCATTGATCCTGCACCACCTCACCAGGAATGAAAAATCAGGTACTTACTCTATTTTAAAACCAGATTAAACAAAAATAAATTTTTTTAAAAATTCTAGTTTTCATCATCGGAAAGAAGAATGAAGTCGACAACTACTCGCGGTTCATACCGCCACAAATGACGCTCGGCACGCCAAAGTGTCCGGTTAAAGTCAAAGCTCTGCCAACGAACAAAGCGGTTGTCAAACACGGCCGCAACTTGGAATTTAAAGGGGTGACATTAATGCACGTAATCGTCAAAACGCACACAAAGGTAAATAAAAACAAAATCCATGATGATTATCTTTCTATTAAATCATTTCTGATCGTACTGGACTGCTCTGTTGATAACATGATGGCTATGAATATGTCAATAATTGAGGTTAGATTTTGATGAAAATGTTGATTCTTTGACGTTCATCACTTTTATGTTTTATATATTACTCATTGGATCAGACCTGTCAATGATTAGAAACGAACGGAAAGGTCCATCGGCCAATTGTATCTCTAAAATTATACCTTGCAGGCGGACCACCTCATCGGGAAGCTGCTTAAGTTAGTGAAAGAGGGTGAAGACAAAGATAAAAACGTCCTTGTCTCTGTATTCCTGGCGGGTAAAGAAAGCGACACCATCTCTGTAGAAAACACCGGCCTCCTGCTCGTGCACCTCTTCAAGAAATTCGTACCGCCGGTACGACTGAAAAAAGAGTTGGAAACTAAAGCACCCATGTGATTGTTGCTTGAAACTAAGTGTTAAGTTTTATTGTAAATAAAATTTTATATATTTACTTTAAACAATTTTTTAAATTTTTTTATTATCCTTTTATCGAACATGTTTATTTATATTTCACCGAGTAATGGTGTTTCTTAATGCTTTTATATTGTCTATTTAGAATTGACTATAATTTTTAGCATTAATGATCTTTAGAATTAAATGATCATTTTTGTTGAAATTGAAAGGTTTTTTTTTGGAAAATATAATTTTTTTTCACGGTAAGCTTTAATTCTGCTTCGATGAAAAACTGGCGAGAATGCTGAGACAATAATTGAAGAATAAATTTATTTATTTGATTAACATTTTTGATTAAAAATGTTTAATATTGGAAAAAAACTGTATAGAGAATTTTTTAAACAAAAAGAATTCCCCCAATTTTTTTTTTTTGAAAGATCATATGAGATGTATTTTATACAATAACAAATTTCTCTTTCTTGTTTGAGTTAAATTTCAAAGTTGAACCCAGGTATAAACAAAATTTTTGTCAGTTTTGACCATTAAAAAACAGTGATGGCTTTGAAACGCCACAGCCTTCCGGTAGTGCCGAGGAGCTACTCGATATTTCTCAAGCTCGACGAGAACGAGAAGTTCGACGGGACTGTTGTAATCCATTTGGATGTGAGTCAGACCCATTTTCTTTAACATTTTAATAAATAGGAAAAAAATCTACGAATATTTTGTTTGAAAAAATACAAAAATGGCCAGAAGGCAAGGGGAAAACACCTAAAATTTCAATTTTATTCGAACATTTTTTAGATAATGAAAGACACAAAGTTGATGATCATGTCCGCGAAGAACCTCAAGGTAATCAAAGCCAATTTGAGGGTGTCGAATGCACTGATTAAACCCCCGGTCATAACGACGTTACCTGACAAAGAGCTTATTTTCCTCGAGTTCGGCACACTGCTCAAGTTCGGATGGGCAGTCCTGACCATCAACTACTCTGGGACGGTCAACAAAACCTTGATCGGCCTTTATAGGCAGTGGTAAGTCCTTAATAAAATAAATGACCATTTTCCTTTAAACAAATTTCAATTCCTACTAGCGGAGGAGGCGTGGCGACGTGCAGAAAACCGCTCTCCGCCCGGAACATATTCCCCTGTTGGGACAATCCTTCGATCAAGTCAACTTTCGAAATATCAATCACTTGTCCACTCAGGACTGTACTTTCCAATACGGTAAAGTTTATTTAATACAATTTACCTGTCATTAAAACTGTGATACACAAGACAAAATTATAACTGGACCATAATATAACACTAGAGAATTATGAAATATTTTTTTTTTGATAAACAAAGCGTAAAAAACCATAATCCTACATTACAATTGATTTATAGCCTATTGTAAATCAAAATCCTAAAAAACAACTGCATATCTGATGAGTAGACATCCATAGGCATATTGATACATCCTTAACCAACACTACCCTATCCTATCTCTTATTATCTATGTTGACCTTAAATCATCACCAACCTCGCATACCTAACCATCATTAACCCTCGCTGCCATGATATTTGGTGAGTATCCACCTCTAGCCATTCCTACCAACCCTTAAACTTCCTTAATGATCTCTAACCAATCTTGGATATACTTAAACATCACTACCCCATACTAAAATAATAATACTGATGAGTAGACACCCATAGGCATATTTAAACGTCCTTAACCAACACTAGCCCATCCTATCATCATATATGTTCCATAGCTATCCACAGGCATACTTAAACATCTTTAACCATCTCTAACCTCAATCTGTCAAACTATCTACTAGGTGATCATGTGTAACTATATTTTACCTATTATTTATCTAAATTTAACCTGTTGTGCTTTGCTTACCTAATTTAAATTGCGTGGGGTTTACCCATCTCTTACAATTATATCTGTATTCACCTGAAATCATCACCAACCATGCATACCTAATCATTACCAACCATGCATATCTAACCATCTAGCCATTTACCCAAGCTAGGCCCATAGACATACTTAAACATCTTTAACCATATCTAACCTAAATCTGTCTTTATATCTGGTAGGTAACCATCTCTAACTGTGCCTACTTAAATTTAACCTGTTGTGCTTTGTTTAGATGCTGCTTATACTGTGAGAACGTTTTACAGCATACCGAACTTGTCCTAAACCTACACATCTTCATTCTTGAGCACTAACCACCTTAAACGAAAACCAACCATCTCAACCTTTCTTTTTCCACGTTTAACCATCCCAGCGTACCCTAACCATGGTGGTGACATCCGGTGTTTATCTAGTCCTAAACATTTTCAAACATCTCAACTAATCCAAAACTCAAACTTCGTGGGGGTCTACGATCTCTTACCATCTGAATTTACCTTTAACCATCATTAACCTTTTATAACCCAACCTATAACGATGTCTAAGAAGTAACCGTCACTACCTTTTTTAACCTAAACTATCATGATATCTTTTGATTTACCAAGCCCTAGCCATTCAACCCTTAAATACCCTTAATTTTTCTCTAACCATACCTACCAACCTTAAAACACATATATTACCATTTCTAACCATCACTATTCCATCCTTATTCCATCCTAAAAAACAACTGCATAAGCGTATAATTTCATTCCCACAATCCCTGGCATCAGAGTTCTGATGATGTCACTATTCAGCAGTGCCATCAAGCAGACATCATCAATATCACACTTAAAGTGTTGCTCCAGTGTATGCCTAGAAGTGAAGCAAGCCTGCCTGGTATGCCACAGAGAATTGGAACTTTAAGAGATCTTCATTTTAACCTAAACTCTAACCTAGTAAATGGTGCTTCACAATGGACCTGTTCAATCATAAAATCTACTTAAATAACAGACACTTCCAAATCATGAGGGGTTACACTTTATCACCTGCTATCGGGAATATCTTAGGACCCATCATCTTCACAATATACGCCACAGACATATCTAACCTTTCTGAATCTATCTTACAACCATTCTTTGCTCACTGAGATCTGTTATCTCAACCATAAACCTGCAAACCCATGTCCTTTGACAGTGGTTCAACCGGTGGACAAATAAGCGCTTAAAAATGCAATAGTATTTCTCCCTTATTTAATCTAGTCCATATTTTGTGATATACATTGACAAACGAACCCACATACATGACTCAAAGGACAAGAATTCAACTGATGCTTCTAACTTCTTAAACGAACAGATCAAAACTCAATAACAATAATTATTCGTTTTGCAATTTTGCCTACTTGTGACAATAAATTTTAGCCGGTTGACTTGAGCGAAGAGTGCGATAGCACTTCGACTATCAAGTTTCTCCCTTCGTCACCGATGTCAGTCGATCAGATTTCAATCTGCTCAGGAGATTATAACTTCATCGAAGGCTATTACAACAAAGTGAACATCAGAGTGTACACAGAACCTTTGAAATCAGAGTTGGGCAGGTCGACGCTGGACTGGCTGATGAGGTTCATCCAGTACTTTAGCGATTTCTTCGACCTACAGTATCCGTTGCCGAAGCTTGATGCAGTCATAATCGATGAGCTCAACTACGGTGTGTATTAACGAATTAACGATTGTATTTTTTTAAATATTTTGAATCTTGTTTTGCAGATTTCATGGAAGGCTGGGGTCTTCTGATGCTACCTTCTAGGCTGGCACTTGTCCGGTCCCTCCAGAGCCTACGCGGAAAGAAGGCCCTTCTGCAAGCTCTGTCCCAAGCCGTAGCTCGTCAGTGGATCGGCAATCTCATCACCGTGGTATTGTTTTTTTTAATTTAAACCGTCAAAAATTATCATTTGAAAATTGTTGCAGATGTTTTCTTTCAGAGCAAACTGGAAGGGCATGCGCTTCTGAAAGGCTGCGCGGATTACATCGGCATCAAACTCTGCAACATAGCACAGCCGGAGTTGAACCCGGTGTTTTGGTTTGGCCTTGAGGTCAAAGAAGACGCCATGACCTGCTACCTGAGACAGAAGAACGAAGATGAATGCCACTCTCGTGACAAGATCTCATCTTTATTCTACATGATCGACAATTACATGGGCGAAGATGTAATTGTGATGTGACAAATTGCCTTTTGTTTGTGAGTTTATCCTGTTAATATTTATAGAACTTCAAACAAGGGATAAAATTCTACGTGCAAAAGTACAAATTCTCGAGTGCATCCGAAGAACAGCTTTGGACATCGTTAGACGTCTATTCAAAGATGCATCTCGTTGACATTATGAACTTTTGGATCGACAGCGAGAACTATCCGCTGATCACTGTTAAATCGGTCGTCAACGAAGGGCTCAATAAAATCATCGAGTTGGAACAAGAGCCGTTTCATCAAATTGTAACAGAACCAGGTTGAACTATACCTTCAACAAAAAAATACAACCAAATTTGTTAATGCGAAAAAACTGTCACAGGTAATCTGAAAACCTGGGACATACCTGTGACATTCGTACGAGCAAAGATGCCAGATAAGATGTGCTTTCAGACGATAATGAGCCAGCGTGTTTTGAGGGTACGCCTGACTAACACTGGAAATTCTGGCTGGGTCAAGCTGAATTTCAAGTCTACCGGCTTTTACAGGGTAAGTTTCTCTCAATTCCATATTAAAAAATCCTTTTTAAAGTTAAACACAACAAAAAGTAACTTAATTCTTCTTTTAAGGTTTTATATCCAAAATTGGTTTTACAAGAATTCATAAGTGATTTCTTGCAGAAGGTCATGTCACCTGAAGACAGGGTCGGAATCATTGCTGATATGAGGGCTTTTGTATGTTTTTGTTTATATATTACTCAAATAATTAATACTGTGATGTTTTATCGAGGTTTGCAAGGTGATTAATTTGGTTATCTCACGTCATCCTTATATCCTCACTGGTCCATCCTGGCATCCATTTCCTACCAATCCTTAAACACCCTTAACCATGTCTAACTATACTTGGGTATACCGTTACCACCCCTTAATATCCTCGTAATATCCATTGAGTAGACATTCATTGGCATATTTAAACATCCTTAACCATCTCTAACCTCAATGTTTAACCATCCTACCATAACATTCACCATTTCTAAATATTTTAAAATATCTCTACCCAATTTTAACTGCGTGGGGTCTACCTATCTCTTATTATCTACGTTGACCTTAAATCATCACCAACCTCGCATACCTAACCATCATTAACCCACGCTGCCATGATATTTGGTGAGTATCCACCTCTAGTCATTCCTACCAACCCTTAAACTTCCTTAACGATCTCTAACCATCCTTAGATATACTTAACCATCACTACCCCATGCTAAAATCATAGTACAGGTGAGTAGACACCCACACGCATATTTAAACGTCCTTAGCCAACACTACCCCATCCTATCATCATATATGTTCCATAGCTATCCATAGGCATACTTAAACATCTTTAGCCATCTCTAACCTCAATCCTTCAAAATATCTACTAGGTAACCATCTGTAACTATATTTTACCTATTATTTATCTAAATTTAACCTGTTGTGCTTTGCTTACTTAATTTAAACTGCTTGGGTTTACCTATCTCTTACAATTATATATGTATTCACCTTAAATCATCACCAACCACGAATACCTAACCATCATTTACCCAAGCTAGGTCCATAGGCATACTTAAACATCTTTAATCATCTCTAACCTCAATCCGTCTTTATATCTGGTAGGTAACCATCTCTAACCGTGCCTACTTAAATTTAACCTGTTGTGCTTTGCTTAGGTGTCTGTTTATACTGTGGGAACGTTTTACAACATACCGAACTTGTCCTAAACCTACACATCTTCACCCTTGAACACTAACTACCTTAAACGAAAACCAACCATCGCAACCTATCTTTTTCCATGTCTAACCATCCCAGCGTACCCTAACCATGGTGGTGACATCCGGTGTTTATCTAGTCCTAAACATTTTCAAACATCTCAACTAATCCAAAATTCAAACTTCGTGGGGGTCTACGGTCTTTTACCATCTGAATTTATCTTTAACCATCATCAACCTTTTATAACCCAACCTATAACGATGTCTAAGAAGTAACCATCACTAACCGTCCCTACCTTTTTTAACCTAAACTATCATGATATCTTTTGATTTACCAATCCCTAGCCATCCAACCCTTAAACACCCCTAATTTTTTTCTAGCCACTTAAAACCATTTCTAACTATCACTATCACCTTATCATCATATATGGTATGAAAAATCTCTAACCACAAACTACCTAACCAGGACTATTTCTAAGCCTACCATTTTCCCAGAGTAACTATCTAACTTTTGCTTTGCCTGCAAAAAGGTAAAGGTCTATAGCTTTCTCTAAATCAATCTATCATGGAATCTGGTGCATAACCATCTCTAACCATTCTTAAATATCTTAAACCATTCCACAGAAACCCACTTTAAAGTGGCGAAACTCTGAAACCTGCGAGATTGGGCAAACCTAGTTGATCTGAGATAACCGTTCTAATATTTTCTACAAAAGCTTTTACTTTTTTCATGATTTTAAAAAATTTGTATACCGGGCTGTTTATTGTCTAGCGGGTAGAGTGGTTTTTGATATTAATTGTAATTTATAGGTGCTTTCAGGACGCGAAAAGACGAGCACACTCCTCAGCTTCATATCACAGCTTGGCGACGAGGAGGCCGCGGTCTGGTGGATAATCATCAAGTTCTTCGAGGACCTATTCATCATCATACCCCAGACGAAGGCCGAGGCCGGGTTCCGAGAGTACGGCCTCACAGTATTCAAGAAGATTTACAATAACCTCGGCTGGTACCCGAAGAAGAAAGAACGTAACTTCCATTTCTCCTTTTGGTTTTTTGTTTGTTTCTGTTTTTTCTACCCTTCGAATTTTGAAAGATCTCCTGGAGACTATGTTGAGGCCGGTCGTCCTGAAGCTCTACTGCCGTTTCGAAGACAGCGACGCCCTCATCGAAGCCAAGAAACGTTTTTTGGGCCTCCTCTTGAAAAATGAAGAAATCGAGGATGACCTCCTTGTTCCTGTTTTTTACGGTTGTGCAAGAATCGGGGGAGAAAAGGAATACAACCAGCTGCTGGATGTACGGCATTTTTAAAAAACACAACTTCCTCATTTCTCAATTTTCTTTTCTTTCAGCTTTATAAAGATTCCGAACTTGAATCCATGAGGGACAAGATAATCGAAGGGCTCTCCGGCTTTCAAGACGTCACCATTGTTAAAAAGCTCATCGAGTTTTTAAGCGAGGTACATTTAAATTATATTAAAAATATAAATATAAGGGTTAAATATTTCTTTTTAAGGACGAAAAGCGTCCTTATAGCTTGTTGAGGTACCTCGAAATACTCCTGGACAATGAATTTGGTACTAAATTAGTTTGGGACTGGTTAGAAACAAACTGGAAAACTTTGGAGACTAAATATTCAGTAAGAAAGGACTTCATTAACCTCAACATAAAAAGTAAATAAAAAATAATAATGATTTCAGGCGAACATGAACGTGCTTTCGGGCCTGGTGGCTAAAGCGACTTGCTACAGGCTGAAAGACAAAAAAGACGAGGCGATCTTCAGGTTCAGCGTCAAACTCGCCGAAAAGTTGACTTCGGCCGTCGAAGAGGGCTTTGGGAAGCACAAAGTCTACAGGGACTGGCTTAACAGGGACCTGCAGAACATCGAACGCTTTTTCACACCCTGGGCATCGTCGGTGTCGACTTAAAAGGGCAAAGAAAAAACAAAAAAGAAAAACAGAAAAAAAATTATAAAACTTGTTTTAAACGACAAAATATTTTTTGTTATAAATTATGAAAGGAAAAAACAGATTTAGTTGAGTATGCTTGACCCGGCCCGGAGGACTAAATCGTATTTTTCTCAGACAAACGACGGCGTCCTTCGGGGGAGCCTCACTCATGGGGATCCGCGTCTGGAATCGGCCGTCATCCCTAGGCGCGAGAATAAACAGTTTTTCTAGTTTATGATCAATGGTATTAAACAAAAGAAACACCTGAGAGATATTACAAGTAGTGATTCTTCATCGGGATAGCTAAAATCTAGATGTGTGTTTGGCTATGGTTAGTAATTGTTCAGGTTAGGTAGGGACCAACGAGATGTCATGATAGTTTGGGTTAGTGTTGGTCGTGAATGGCTTGGTAATGGTTAATGATGGTTAGAGATAGTTAATCACCAGATAAGATAAGTTGGCTTAGGTTAGAGTAGTTGGTGATGGTTAAAGCAAATAGTGGTAGTAAGAGATGGGTACAGATGTTTAAGCATTGTTACAAATGGCTGAGGATATGTGGGAATGGTTAGGGACGAGTAGAAATCATTTCTCACCAGATATCAGGACAAGTTGGCTTATGGTTGGATATTTAGAGACGGTTACACTCTAATAGTACGCTCCAAAATAGCTTGGATGAAAGTTAGAGGTAGTTAAGGATATTATGGATATATGGTTACTTCTCAAAATAGTATGCTCCAACATAGCTTGGTTGAAAGATAGAAGTTGTTAAAAATGTGTATGGATAGACGGTTACTTTCCAAACAGTAGGCTCCACATAGCTTGGATGAAAGATAGAGGTGGTTAAAAATATGTATGGATATATGGTTATTTCTCAAAATAGTAGGCTCCAGCATAGCTTGGATAAAAGTTAGAGGTTGTTACTGATATGTATGGATGTTTAGAGATGGTTACTCTTCAAATAGTACGCTCCAACATAGCTTGGATGAAAAAATAGAGGTGGTTCAACATATGTATGAATGTTTAGCGATGGTTATTCACTAAATCTGTAATAAGGTCCATCGTAGCTTGCCTGGAAGATAAGATGGTAACTCACCAGGTATGTGTTGGCTTAGAATTATCAAGGATGGATGATGCTTGAAGGTGAATAGTGATAGTAAGAGGGGGTAGTTTGAGTTTGAAATAGGCAGATATGCTTAAAAAGTTTAGGATAGGGTAAAGTTTTAATACGTATAAATTTAAACCACTATTTATGAGTATACGTGATCCGGCCCGGAGGACCAACTTTTTGTTTCAGTTACTAATACAATATTTTCAAAGTGTATTCTTTCTTTTTCCAAATAGCATTTTATTTGTTCAAAGATGTTTGAACCTTCTCGAAAGGTTTGCACATTAAACGTATTAAATGTTTCGCGTTTTCTAAGAAAGGGCGAACTCTTGGAAATCAGCAGGGCTTGAGTTGATGTCATTAGACGCATTAAATAGGAGCCGGTTCGCAAAGGGATCAAACCTTTCAACCGCCTATCATCAAAGCTTACTTTAGCCCGCAAGCCCTCGGGGCGGTTGTAGTTTAATAAACAATTTACCATCCCCGTCGATATCGAGGGTCGTTAGCAAGGAGGATGGGGCCAAGGTGTGCGGGCCGGGGATGAATTGTGTACCGTGGTGGCGGGGGGGGGGGCGAATCCTCAATGCGATCCCACACCGACGGCTAATAACATCACAAAACTTAGATACACTCCATTGCCTAAGGGGATATTTACCAACTCATCTAAGTTGGGATTATCTTGGAATCCGGCGTTAAACTTTGATTCCTCGAGACGCGGGCAATTTGTCCCCGAGCTGTGGAATTTTTATTTTATCAACTTGCCGACATGTGTGGATTCGGATCCAATCGTGACTGACTCAACACACTCACAGGCTCAGATAAAAACGTTCATTTCGTTTGGATCCCTTTTAAGCGATTCATACATGCATATGCATACGCACTCGTTATATGAAACCGACAGGTCATGAGTGTAAAGTGGGTTTAACACCTTACCGGATGGTTAGGACTGAGGACAAATTGAGACGTCAGAAAGGCGTGGGCAGCCTTGTAAACCGTAATTTAACATAATAAGGCCTCATGGCGCGATTGCCACTAACGGGTGATTTACGCCATTCTTTTTCCTCCGGGCCTTGCATGGCGTCCCGTCGGGAGAGGTTCACACCTGGGGGTCCGCGGCTGGAATCAGTCCAGTCATCCCCTACGCACGAGTGTAAGCACCCTTGTACGGAAAGTATTAGGCGCAGTTGACATCAATCAAAGAACGAAGGATATCTGAGGAGATCGATTAAGCGTAAAGTTGTAGTTTATATTCAATGCCATTCCATGAAAGGAACACCTGAGATATATTACAATTGGTTGATATTAATTGAGATGGTAAAAATTTAGATAGTTTGTTAGCTATGTTTAGTCATGATTACTCACCAGGTGTCATGATAATTTTAGCTAATTTTACCATTTCGTGATTGTTAAGGATACGTAACGAGTGCATACTCGCCAAATTAGTATATTCCGTACGTCACGTTACTCTGAGTTAGGGCCATAGTCGACGGGTTAGGTTAGAGATATTTCGTGATGGTTAAGAAAGCGCAAGGTTGGCTAGAGATGGATACTTTTTTTAGTAGGCTCTAGCATAGCTTGGATAAAAGAGAAGTGGTTAAAGATACATTTAGATAAATGGTTACTCTCCAAAATGTACGCTCCAACATAGCTTGGATGAAAGATAGAGGTGGTTAAAGGGATGTATGGATATTTAGAGACGGTTACCCTCCAAATAAAAGATTCCAACACAGCTTGGGGAAAGAAGTGGATAAAGATATGTATGGATAGATGGTTACTTCCCAAAATAGTAGGCTCCAACATAGCTAGGATAAATGAAGTGGTTATAGATAAGTATAGATAGATGTTACCCCCAAACAATAGGTCATTGCTTGGATGAAAGATAGAGGTGGTTAAAAATGTGTATAGGTAGATGGTCACTTCTCAAAATAGTATGCTCCAACATAGATAGGATGAAAGAAGTGGTTGTAGATGTGTATAGATAGATGGTTACTCTCCAAACTGTAGGTTCCAACATAGCTTGGATGAAAGATAGAGGTAGGTAAAAATATGTATGGAAAGATGGTTACTTCGACTACTATGAAATATATAGGTGGTTAGATGGAGGTAGACCCCATTGACATAGCTATAGGTTCAGAACGTTTATGACGTATACCACGATAGTTTTCAACAAGGATTAGTGGGAATGGCTATGAATATTGTTGAATTGCTAGATGTTAAGGATGAGAATGGACAATGATACTCAGATGTGACGATGGTTTCGGTAAGGATGGTATCAGATTGTTAATAGTGAAGGATGATGATGGGTAGGCAAATTAATTCACTATATACCATGATAGTTTAAATTAATGATAAGTGAGAATATGTTTGGTCTGCTTGATGTTCACAAATAAACGATTGACATGAAACAACGTATTTAAGATGTATTGCAAATGGATGATAAATCTATTATTAAATAAAGCAAATCAGCGATGATAGAGCCAATGTTTTGCGATGATCTGGAATTGTTGTCCAGGAAGGTACGTCAGTATTGTTGGTTCTTATGGTGGTTTTTATGAACTGCCCTGTTGAATTCTTTGGATTTTTCTATTCAACAGCTAACCAGGGACTGGAATTTTTTTCAAAAGTGAGACTTTAAACAAATATAAAACCTTTTAAAATATAATCCTAGTTTTGTGCATATTTTAATCTTGTGTGATGCTAGCAATGACAAGTGAGCAAGCGCTGTTGGGCTTGATTAAAAATTCCAATAACGCCGGCCAGCTGGACTGGTACGCCGTGTCATTTGCATCCGTGTACCGTCCTAATGAAAACATCGGCTCGTTTCTAAGTAGGTTGTACTGCGGGACTTTATGGAAATGCGGCGGAAAGAAGGCGCCGATCGAGAGAGAGGAAGGAAAAAAAACGGACAGCCGTGAAAGTCACGAGGAGTTTGTCACATATGTGAAAGGAGTGAAATACCTGTTCCTTTGAGCCCACGCTGGGATTCGATTGAAATCGCCCGTTCCCGATATCATTATAAATGTCTCTCGGGTTCCGAGGACACATCGTGAGATGTAAACGGCCCCAGCTCCAGGAAAAAATATTGGAAATCAACAGTTTACACTGTCTCTTAAGTGAGAGTGTCATGTTCCGTTGATATTTATTGTTCTTGAGGTACCACCTACTGGACACCTTCGAATATTATCATTTACAACATCTAAAACGCTCCCGACCATTTTTTTTATTTCCATAGATTTCATCTAGCAATAATCTACGTATATAACCAACCCTAAGTGACACAAATTTTAACCAACTATGTCTTACAATTCTAAAGAATCTGCAACGATTCCAAACTATTTCCAACCATTTCTTAACAGTCTCATCACCATCTCTATCACTGACTGCCACTGCCACTAACCATCTCTAATCATTCCTACCTATTTCTAATTGTCATTAACTGTCCGCAACCCACTCGGTCTAGCACTGACTGCCACTAAATATCACCAACCATCTCTAACTATCCCTAACTAACACTGCCACCAACCATTTTTAGTTATTTATTATTTCTTTTAACTACCACTAACGTCAGCAACCATCTCCGACTAGTACTGACTGCCACTATCACCAACCGTCTCTAAGCATTCCTTGTTATTCTAACTACGACTAACTGTCAGCAACCAACTCTGACTAGCACTGACTGTTAATACCACCAACCATCTCTGACTGTCTCTAACTACCACTGCCACGAACCTTCTATAACCAGTCCTATCTATTCCTTACTACCTCGTACTATCACTAACTGTCAACAACCAACTCTGACTACCATTGACCGCCACTGTCACCAACCATCTCTAACTAGCACTGCTACCAACCATCTCTAACCATTCTTAGCTATTTCTTACTA